ATATATATATATATATATTTTAAGATTTTTAATTGATTTTTTAGAGAGAGAAACATCAATGGTTGCCTTCCATATGTGCCCTGACAATATCAAACCCGCCACCCGCCACCCAGGTATGTGCCCTGACTTGGGAATCAACCGGCAACCTTTCAGTGCACAGGACGATGCTCAACCAACTGAGCCACACCAGCCAGGGCTGTAATATTTATTAAGAGCACCTAGCCCGGCCGGAGTGGCTCAGTTGGTTGAGCACTTACCTGGGTGGCGTGTTCGATCTCAGGTCAGGGCATGTATGGAAGGCAACTGATCCATTTTTCTCTTCCTCTCCCTCTTTGTGAGCATATCCTCAGGTGAGGCTTAGAAATAGTAATAATAAAAATAAGAGCACCTGGGCAGAGCTCTGAGTTCATGTACTAGCCCTCCCACTCACTTGCTGTGTGAACTTGGCCAAGTAATCACTTCTCAGATCTGCATCTTCCTCCCATGCAGATTTGACTGAGAATACAAAGGCCAAAGCACAATACCTGGAACACAGTAACCTTGTCAAAAATGCTAGCTCTTGTAGAATGTGGCCAGCAAACATTTATATCTCTTTTCCCCAGGGTGTCTCACAGGGTGTGTTTGAGGGTGTCCCTCCTGCCTGAGGTGAGGGTTGGTCCATCCCTCTTAGGGACAATGCCTGGGAAGTGGTCTGGGCAAGCTGTGAGGGAGTGGCCTTTAGATGGAAGCCACAGGTCTGAGAGGGGAAAGTGGGTGGTGTCTGAACCCTTTCTACATATTTTCTCTTAAAGAGGACCTTGGGAAGATGTCTTCCTTAGAAGACAGCAAGGTGCTGAACTTACAAAGCCTGGTAGCCCAAGGTCCAAGGGAAACCCACATGTATGGTCCCCTCAACTACCATCACTTCACACACCCTTTCAAGGGGTTTATGCCGTTAGACACTTCAGTCTAGTATTGGTAGCATGTGTTCAGAGCCCTGTTAGGCTCAAGAATCACTTCCTCAAACATCATTTCCTCAGGGAAGCCTTTCCTCCCCGACAGATAAGGCCCCTCTGCATACCCTCTCCCAGTCCCCCTTCTCCTGTAGGAGCTTTTTATCCCAATTACAGTGTGACCGTTGTATAACCAGGCATTTCTTGTCTGTTCCCCTTGCTGGGCTAGAAACACTATAGGTCACATCCCCAGCACTGTTCTTAGCACCTAATAAGTGCGTGTAACTATTTGCCCCTCTTGGCTTAGCTGACCCTTGTGAACTGCGCAGGCTTTGAAGTTCGATCTGAGCTGTGCTGGTCTGGAACAGGACTCAGAAAGAGCTTCAGTGAGCTGTCGCTGAGGAAGGGACAATAGGACCCATTTCCCTGCACATGGTTGGGGGAAATCAGCCAGGTCAGATGTGTAAGGCACTTATCCCGGTGCCCCCATGGTCAGTCTGAGGCACCACCACACTCCCCTCCCCCAAGGCTGGTCAGAGGCTGCTTGCGCTATGTGTCCCTCTCTGGTGTAAACCCAGGCATGTGTCTGAGTTCAGTAGACCACAGCTGCTCACGGGGTAGCGGTGGGGGTGGAGTAGGCTCTGCCCTTCCCAGCTGGCAGAGTGACTTCGCAGGTGCCTGTAGCTGAGTCCTGGGGGTTGCAAGCTGCGGCTAGGATACCAGGAATGAAGGCTGGGGCTACTCCAGGAGGCTGATATGGGTGGTGGACAGAACCCCTGGAAGCCAGACTGAGCTGAGTTTAAATCTCAGATTGGCCACTTGTGGAACCTTAATCTTTCCTCAAGTGCAAAATAGAGACCCCCACCCCCACACCAGAACTGATGAAGATTAGATGGAAACTGTATACAAGTGCCTAAGCTGATATAACAACTCACATTTAGCAAGCACTTACATTAGGAGCCAGGCACTGAGCTCGGAGGTGATTATCCTCTTTTCACAACTTGCCTGAAACCCTCCCTGTTGAGTGGCCACCCAGAGGGCTGACTGATGAGTGTTCTTGCTGCCCTGAGGCACCCCCTCAGTTGGAACTATAGGAATAGTAACCGTTGATCTTCCTTCTGCCCATACTAGCTGTGTTACTCCGGTAGGTCACCTGCCCCTTCTGCTTTCCTTTCTTTAATCTATAAATTGGGGGGGGGGGGGCCTTGCCTTTATCATGTGTACTGTCTAATATGGTAGCCCTTAGCCACATGTGGCTATTTACATTTTGATAATTGTTTTAAAAATTAAAATTCAGTTTTCAGTTTTGAGTTGCACTAGTGACATTTCAAATGCTCAGCCCCCATGGCTAGGGGCTACCACCTTTGACATGCAGATAGACTATTCAATCATCATTGCAGAAAGTTCTGTTGGACTGCTCTGTGCTAGACACGGGTTAAGAACAGGGAACTAGTTCCAGTGTGCTCCCTCAAGGTAAGAAACGATGCAGTGTGACAGGTGCTGTGCTTGGGGTACTGGATTTCTGGGGATGAACCCCAGATGCAAAGCCTTGGGGCTGTTGAGACCTTGAAAAGTTTAGAGAATGGGAATAGTGTCTGCTGTTGCAGAAACCTGGTTTGGATCCCAACTTCGCTGCCTCCTTGGCTGAGTGACTCAAAGTGACTGTCTCTCTGAGCCTCACTCCTCAGCTGTAAAATAGGCACCTAGTAGTAGCAGTACCTGCCTTAAAGTGCATGTGAAATAAATGCTTAGCCAATGGTAATCACGGTTGTTATCTACCAGTATTATTATTGACTTCCTGTCTTGGGGAATAGGGGAGAGCTGATTTGGAGGCATCATCTCTTGGCGTCTCCTGCCCTGTCTGCTTTCTCTGAAGTTCTGGGTGTCAAGGTCAGAGAAGCATTCCTAGCATCAGAGCTCCGGGTTAGAATCTACTTGGTCTTGCCTTCAAAGCTTTGCAATTTCTATTCTCTTTGACTGGAATGCTGAGGTTCAGGGCCTCAGATCTGGTAGGATTAATATTTAGATATCAACTCAAAAGTTACCTCGTCCTGGCTCAGTGGTTTTTCTCTGTCTACTCAGACCTACAATATTGCATATCACCTCCCATCATTGCTCTATTTAATTTACTTCATATAATCTATAATTTTAAATCCTATTCCTAATTTTTTATTTGCCTTTCTCTATTAGATTGTAAATTCTGTGAAGGCTGAGACTTTGTCTTTTTATTCCTGTACTGTGGCTACCTGAAATGTAGTCATCAAAAACATTTGTTGAATGCACAGATTAATTTTGGCTCCACCTGGAAAGCTCTTAGCCCACTGCCTTACACACCCTGGCTATAAACTATGCTATGCCCACCCATTTAAATTAGAGTTGCTGGAGGCGGGGCCTTGCATATATATTTTGTTGTTGTTAATCTTCACCTGAGGATATTTTTCTATTGCTTTTTAGAGAGAGTGGAAGAGAGAGGGAAAGAGAGAGAAACATTGATGTGAAAGAAACACATCTATTGGTTGCCTCCTGCATGCGCTGGACCAGGGCAGGCCCGGGCCTCGGTCTGGGCCAGAAAGGAGCCTGCAACCAAGGTACGTGCCCTTGACCAGAATCAAACCCGGGACCCTTTGGCTCACAGGCTGATACTCTATCCACTGAGCCAAACCGGCTAGAGCGCACTGGTATTTTTTAAAAGCTTTTAAAGGGATTCTAAAGTACTGCTTGGGTTGAGATGCCATTGTTTGAAAAAACAACGAGGTTAATGATAGCTGACTTCTATTAAGTGCTTACTGTGATAGAGGTACTGAGGTAAGGGCATTATCTCATTAAATCCGTATGACCCAGTAAAAGTAGGTACTATTAGCCCCATTATTTGTTGAGGAAACCGAGGCTCACATAGGCAGCAGATGGTGGAGATGTCGTTTGAGCCTAGGCAGTTGTTGTCAGAGCCCCTGTCTTTTACTGTACTCCATTACCATCATCCTCATCATCAGGGCTGACTTACTACTTAGGACGCACAGGTTCCTTTCCTTGACAGCTCATGGGGCAGATTTTAGAGTGAAATGGGACTCCTAAGGCTGTTCCCTGTACCTTGCTAGCACTCTAGTGGGTCCTCTATCCCCCCAACCCCCAAATCCCAGTTCCACCCTGTCCTTCCCTACCCCACCTGGCTGTGGTTTCCTCTCTGTCCTCACATCCCCTGAGGGGGAGGCCCTTTTTGTGGAGTCAGCAATTCTTATCTCCCACACAGAGCTGTTAGGCTTTTTCTCTTTGGTGAGGGAGGAGGGGAAGCTGAAACAGGAGTGCTTGGGGCTTCTGGTGGCTTCTATGCTAGACTTGGACCCACCTGGCCTGGTAGCTCCCAGAAGTGTGGGCTGAAAGGGACCTGAGTAATCAGCCCAACTATCTTTTTTTTTTTTAAATATATTTTATTGATTTCTCACAGAGAGGAAGGGAGAGGGATAGAGAGAAAGAAACATCAATGAGAGAGAAACATCAATCAGCTGCCTCCTGCACACCTCCCACTGGGGATGTGCCCGCAACCAAGGCACATGCCCTTGACCGGAATCGAACCTGGGACCTTTCAGTCCGCAGGCCGACGCTCTATCCACTGAGCCAAACCGGTTAGGGCCCAACTATCTTTTTTTGTCCCAGCTTAAGGCCCAGAGAGTTTAGGTTACTTTCTCAGAGGCACACAGCAAGTTAGTGGCAGAATTTTTCACACGGGGACTTCCAGGTCCCATTGTTCTTTCCTTTGTCCTCTTTCAAAGCCCCAGAGCTCTGCCTCCCTCAGGGGGGTTTTGGCCATCTGAGAAGAAAGGTTCAGTTATAATATTTAGTTCTGGACAGGTAGGTCCATTGGTAATAAGTCTGGATTTTAATGAGATGGGGAGAGTTATTTCTGTCCAGTGAAGGTAAACTCTCTCTCTCTTTTTTTTTTTTTAATCCTCACTTGATATTTCTCCATTGATTTTTAGAGAGTGAAAGGGAGGGGGAGAGACAGAGAGAGAGAAACTATTGATGTGAGAGACATCAATTGGTTGCCTCCAACACGTACCCCGACCAGGGCTGGGGTTTGAGCCTGCAACCGAGGTACATGCCCTTAACGGGAATCATACCCGGGACCCTTCAGTCTGCAGGCCAATGCTCTATCCACTGAGCTAAACCGAATAGGGCCGGCAGTGCTGAGAGCCCCCCTTGCAGTTATTAAATCAAATGAATAAGTAAAACATCCTCTGTGAACTGTGAACCTCACCTCTAGGACTAGGAGCAGATTGAGTGAGTACATCATTGGTGGTTTCCAAAGAAGCTCCAATACATGCATGTCAGAAGCGCTGCCATGCATGCCCTGTCCTGATTCTCTTGAAGCCTCTGTGCTTTCTTTGTGTTCTTAATTCATAGGCTAGTGTGAATGACCGGGCCCTGCTCTCCACAAAATGTGATCTGGTAGTAGGGAGACCTAATTCAGACAAGTAGAAGACAATGTTTTCAGAAGCAAAAGCACTGGGAATTGTGGGATCACAGATGAGGCTGAAAGAAGTTTCCCAGGCCCTGGAAGACTGTAAAAGTTAGTTCTGCAAAAGGAATGACTAGTGGGAGAACAGTGGGCCTGAGTCACTAATTTATCTCAAAGGCTAAGGGAGGTGGAGGCAGAGTTTTAAGCCAGGTGATCAGATGTGCACATAAAGTTTACTCTGGCTGTAGAAAGGTTGCCCTCTTTAGAAACCACCAAGGTCACATACTCACTAAATCTGCTCCTACTCCTAGAGTTGGTGCTCAGGGGGCATATTTTATTTATTTTTGTTAATTTGGTAGAGGAATGGGTAGGATAGGGCAGGGAGACCATTGGTGAGGCTGTGGTTGGTAGAACAGACAAGAGATGGTAGTGGTCTGTGAGGTGGTGATGGTGGGAGGGATGACGAAATGACAATTTGAGAGAGATTGCAGCTGAAGTGGAGAATAGAATTATCCTAGGGATAATTAGCACTCAGACGAGAATAGAATTATCACAGGGATCTAGGGTACTTGGTAACCCGGCTTCAGGATGTAAATGAGGGGGTTCTTGTATGGATTCTCCAGGGCTGCCAAGCAGGTGGTCTCCTGGAGATGTGCAGTATGGTGGCTGTGTATTTCCCTTTCCCAGGCCCTCCCTACTCAGTACTGGGGCTCCCGACTCCCTGCCCAGTTTCTGAAGAGCTAAGCCTGTGGGGCGAGCCCTCTCTCTTGTTTGTTCTCTCTCCACCCACCAAACAGGTGTGTATCTCCCAAATGACTCCTCTATGCAGGCTGCACCAGAAAGGAGGTTTTCAAAGTTCAATGTGGCCCCTTGGGTAGGAGGAGAAGACTAGAGAGAGAACGTTCCTTTAGTCCTCCCTTTTACCTCCAACTAACCATGATGTGTTTCCTTCTAGGAGCAGAGGATGAGGTGGGCTCGGGGAGGCCCTCGAGGACCCAGCGCCTTCATCCCAGTGGAGGAGGTAAGCTTGGAAGGGGTTAGGAATTGTTGGTCGCTGGGAAGAGGGACATGGAACACTGGCTTGGTGAGGAGGGTCTTTTCCTGTCTCTTGAAATAGCAGTTTTGAAACTATCCCTTCAGGTTCCTGACTCATTTAATGTACAGAACAGCTCTAGGAAGCAGGCAAATTCACCCCATTTGCTGGGAAGAAACAGGCTCAAAGAGATAAAGTGGTAATAACACAGCTATGAAATGAACAAACTTTTGATCCCCAGAATAAGGCCTGCTTTTCCTCAAGAAGATAGAACCATCTGTGTTTATCTTCTCACTCTTGACTGTGCATATATTAAAGTTTTATTTTACTTCATAAGTATACGTTCATTATAAAAATTTTCCCCAATATTTCAGAATCTCCTTCTCCCCTGAGAAGTAATCAGTGTTGCCTAACCATTTGCCATTGTTTTCTAGCGGGGGTTTTTTTGTTTTTGTTTTTTTCATGCAGAACCAAGGTCATAGTTTACAGCATGTTTTTTGGGGGAGTTTATTGTTCTGTTCTGTTTTCTCACTTAATATAACAGAGACTCCTTTCATTTACTGAGTCAGATCATTCATCATTGTTTTTAACAGATAGCTATTGGATGATTAATCTGTGTCAGGTACTGTCCCGGGTGCTGGGGATACCACAGATAACAAGACAGACAAAAGTCCTTGCCATCATGGAACTGACATTCTAGTGTGGAGTTGGTGTATGGGGGTGCCTTCAGAGCACATGCACAGAACATTTTTTAAATAATAGTTTTCTTCTTTTTCTTTGGAAACAACTGTTTGTTTCCTTGTCCTCTTTTCTCTCCTAAACGTGTAGGCCAAGTAGTTAATGAACTGTTAACAAATGTCTAAGCCCCCAGTTCCCTCCACCCTTTGTAAATGGAAAATAAACAACCACTAGCTGGTTATTCATGTCTGCAGCCCAGAATTTGAAGCTCAAGTGTTGTTCTTGTATTTTATATTTTCATTTAGAAATAACCACTCCTGCCCTAGCCGGCTTGGCTTAATGGATAGAGCGTCGGCCTGCAGACTGGGGTCCCGGGTCCAATTCCAGTCAAGGGCACATGCCTGGGTTGTGGGCTTGAGCCCCACTGAGGGGTGTGTGGGAGGCAGCTGACCAATGATTCTCTCTCATCATTGATGTTTCTATCTCTCTCTCCCTCTCCATTCCTCTCTGAAATCAATAAACATATTTTTTAGAAAAAGAAAGAACCACTCCTCTTTTATAATAAAGAAAAGAACTAGGCTTTGGGGTTAATCTGGATTTGAATCCTGGTTTTGTCTTTTACTAGATCTGTAACCTTGAGCAAGGAATGAAACCTCTCTGGGCCTTGATTTCCTCATCTGTCAATGGGGGAAAGTAGTATTCACCTCACAAGATAATTGGGAAAATTCAATGAGATAATGCAAGGGATGCTCTAAACTCAGCCCTGCCATGGAGATAGCACTCGAGAAGTGTGAACTATTTTGCACCCATTTCCCATGGCTGTACGGTTTTGCACTGTTAAAACAGAAGCTCCATGAAGGCCGGAGAAAACTGTATTTTCATCTCTGTGCCTGAGTTTTTCTATCTAAAAATAGAGAATAGAATTATCTCATACTTGTAAGAATTAAATGAGTAAATACATATAAAGTGCTCAAACAGTGCTTGGCACATTGTAAGCATTATAAAAGTATTGGTTATTATATAAGGTATCTGGTAAGTATTTGATCACTTAATGAATTATATTTTACTCTCTTATTCTGTTTTGGGACATGGTTGTTTTCAGTTTCTTGCTATTATAATCCACTGTAATGAATGTGTTGGTCTCTTTGCGGGGAAGGACGGGAGGGGAACCCATCCTCTCCTCACCTTTGCTTGGCAGGTCCTACGGGAGGGAGCTGAGAGCCTCGAGCAGAACCTGGGGCTGGAGGCACTGATGTCCTGTGGGCGTGTGGACAACCTGGCAGTGGTGATGGGCCTGCACCCCGACTACCTTAGCAGATTCTGGCGCCTGCACTACCTCCTGCTGCACACAGATGGGCCCCTGGCCAGCTCCTGGCGCCACTACATTGCCATCATGGTGAGCCTGTCTGACCCCGACTCTCTTAGGGGTGGCCACATGGCGGGGGGTTCAGTCTGCAAATCTCTTTGCTGGGGACTTTCTGAACTGATTCCATACATGAGGAGGAGGAGGGGAAAGCCCTGGCTTTATTTGACTATAGAATTTTAGAAAAGAGGCATCTTTAGTGCCTGCTCTACAGCTTGGGAAACTGAGGCATAAAGGAGTAAATGACCTGCCCAAGGTCACAGCAAGCCAGTGGCAGAGCTGGGGTTAGAGCCTAAATTTCCTGCCTCTCAGGCAACAGTGAGGTCTATGCTGTCACCTTCCATGGGGTACTCACCCTGAGGAGGGCACAGAAAGAATAGCATGACCTAAGCTCACGCTGCTTTATGTGCCCTTACCGCCATAGGCTGCTGCCCGCCACCAGTGTTCCTACCTGGTGGGCTCCCACATGGCCGAGTTTCTGCAGACTGGCGGTGACCCTGACTGGCTGCTTGGCCTCCACCGTGCCCCTAAGAAGCTGCGCAAGCTTAATGAGATCAACAAGTTGCTGGCACATCGCCCATGGCTCATCACCAAGGAGCATATCCAGGTACAGTGGGTAGAGAGGCAGGTCCCCGAGGCGGCACAGGGGCCGGGCTGGGGTATGGCCGCTAGCCCAGGGGCAGGCACTGAGCAAGTCTGGCCTTCTTTCCTCTCCAGGCCTTGCTGAAGACGGGTGAGCATAGCTGGTCCCTGGCTGAGCTCATCCAGGCCCTGGTCCTGCTCACCCACTGTCACTCACTGGCCTCCTTCGTGTTTGGCTGTGGCATCCTCCCTGAGGGGGACCCGGAGGGCAGCCCTGTACCCCAGGCACCTTCACCCCCCAGCGAGCGAAGCAGCCCCCCCAGCAGAGACTCACTGAACAATTCTGGGGTAAGTCACTGGCCGGTGTTTGGGTGGGAGAGGAAGCTGGCATGGCCTGTCATCCCTGGACAGAAGCCACTGCTTCACTACCTCACAGTGATAAGCCTTAGAAAAGTTATCTGACTTTGAAGTTCCATTTCCTCATCTATAAAATGAGGATAAAGACCTACTTCATAATGAGTTGTGAGGACTAAGTGAAATAACCATGTGACTGGCCCTCAACATGTAGATCCATAGACTAAACGTCTCCTGGGTTTTACCACTTTCAAAATACAACGTTTGCTTCTTATTTTGTAAGGTGGCCTTGCTTGTTTTAATATGAAAACACAGGTATTTTAAAAGTCCCTTACCTGTGAGGGTAGTTGATGCTCAGAGAAGACATGTCTGTTCTGTAGTTTTGTGTTTTTTAAATTATTGCTTGATTTGAGACAGAGAGAGAAACATTGATTTGTTGTTTCACTTATTTATGCATTCATTGGTTGATTCTTGTATGTACCCTGACCAGGGGTCAAACCCACAACCTTGGTGTATCAGGATGACGCTCTAACCAAAGGAGCTACCTGGGCCAGGGCTGATTCTGTAGCTTCTTAAACTTCACTTGGGGAAGCATAGACCACGAGCTGCCCGTTCAGAAAGGCCTGGCATGTGGGAAAGATGTGTGGAATTTCTTGGGGTGGCCGAGAGAGGAGTAGATGGTCATCTTTGGGTCCCCCCTGCAGGGCTTCGAGGCTGCCCGAGACGTGGAGGCTTTGATGGAACGCATGAGGCAGCTGCAGGAGAACCTGTTGCGGGATGAGGGAGCGTCTCAGGAAGAGATGGAGAGCCGCTTTGAGCTGGAGAAGTCGGAGAGCTTGCTGGTGACCCCCTCGGGTACGGGATCACAGGCGTCCAGGTCCCAGGGCCTGCCCCCTTCTTCTGCCATCTCTGTTGAGGAGTAGGCACCTCTAAGTGCTGCATCTCTTATATTTTGGGGTCAGACCTGAGTTTGAATCTGGCCTGCGTTAGCCTTTCTGCCAGAGTGACCACTAATAAATCACTTCCTGCCTCGGGCCTGTCTCCTCACACATAAAGGATTGATGTGAAGGGTAAATGGAATAAGAAAAGCAAAGCTCTTTACCCAGAGCCCGGCCCAGGATGAGTGGCTCCATATAACTCCTACTACTATGACTGTTATTATTACTGGGGGCCTCGATCCTGGGCCTGATTCGCCTCCTCCCGTGGGAATCCTGGTTCCACTCGCTGTAGGGAGGGGCTTTCTCTGGCCTTATACTCTGCATTGCCTGGCCCCACATTGATGATTACTCAGGAGTGAAGATCTCTGTGCTCCATGCCTTGGCCTCACTGTGATCTCTTTCTGATATTCTCAGCTGACATTCTGGAGTCCTCTCCACACCCAGACATGCTGTGCTTTGTAGAAGACCCCACTTTCGGATATGAGGACTTCACCCGGCGAGGGACGCAGGCGCCCCCTACCTTCCGTGCCCAGGTGGGCTTTCCCCACTGAACTTGGCATTGCTCCTGATTTACAATCAAAGGGTGGATGATTTGAGTGATTAGAGTTGGGTACCTTCTCTCCCTCAAGATTCCTTGAGGGACGTGGGAGACCCTGGATCATGAAGGGACCCATCTGTGCCCTAAGTGCATCCCTCTTGGCTTCTCGGGCCCAGACTAAGCAGTAGATTAGATTTGTGGGGTGGGGAGGTGTGCTGTAGAGGATGGGGTCTCTCTGCCCAGCCTTGAGCCATTTATTGATCCCTTCCCACGTTTCTCAGGATTATACCTGGGAAGACCATGGCTACTCCCTGATCCAGAGGCTTTACCCGGAGGGTGGGCAGCTGCTAGATGAGAAGTTCCAGGCAGCCTACAGCCTCACCTACAACACCATGGCCATGCACAGCGGAGTGGACACCTCCATGCTCCGCAGGGCCATCTGGAACTACATCCACTGCGTCTTTGGCATCAGGTAAGCACAGGTCTCCTCATCCAGGATGTGTGTGCACTGCAAGTCCTCAGTCTGCACTTACAGTGGTTTCCTTTTTTGTTTTTTTCTTTTCCTTTCTTCCTGCCTATGCTATTTTTCAAAGCAAATTTTTTTCTTTGCTGATTACAAAAGATAATAAATATGCTTACTGTTTGAACCTTATAAATGAACACACTTTAATCCCACTCCATAGAGATAACTATCCTATATAATAAAGAGGGAATATGCAAATTGACTGTCACTCCACCACAAAGATGGCTGCACCCATAGCAGAGGTGGGGTTTCCATAACACAAGATAGCTGCACCCACAGCTGAGGCCGAGCTCCTGTAATGAGCCTTAACAAGCAATCAGCAGGGACCTGAGGCTGCGCGTCCCCCACCCCCACCCCCGTGGGGCTTGACAGGGGACCTCAGGTCGCGCCCCCCACCTTGGTGCCAGGCTGGGGAACCTCAGGCTCCGCCCCCCATCTGGCAGGGCTTGACAGGGGACCTCAGGCCACACACCCCCGCCCAGTGGGGCTTGACTGGGGACCTCAAGGCGTGCCCCTGCCCAGTGGGGCTTGACAAGGGTGGGACTGGCCGGGTCTGGATCTAGCCCAATGGGGTGGGGTGGGGCAGCCAGGTCTGGGTCTCCGCGATTTTGAGGCACACGTGGGTGGGCGGGGACAACTCTGGGTCCCGTGGTGCGCCTCAGACTCTGGCAGGAGGAAGATTTTCATATACATTTTACTAATTTTCTTTCATCTCTGACACTTCTATTATAGAGAAAGGGCAAATGCAATATTAAAATATTTCCTCTAATTAATCCCCCCTTTTTATATATTTTTATTGATTTTAGAGAGGAAGGGAGAGGGATAGAGATAGAAACATCAATGATGAGAGAGAATCATTGATCGGCTGCCTCCTGCACGCCCCCCACTGGGGATCGAGCCCACAACTCAGGCATGTGCCCCTGGCCGGAATCGAACCTGGGACCCTTCAGTCCTCAGGCCGACGCTCTATCCACTGAGCCAAACTGGCTAGGGCTTAATCCCCTTTTAATGTGCACGAATTTCGTGCACCGGGCCACGTATGTGTGTGTGTGTGTGTGTGTGTGTGTGTGTGTGTGTGTGTGTAATCAGAGAGAGAGAGAGAAATACCAATGAGGAGAGAGAATCATTGATTGGCTGCCTCCTGCACGCCCCACACTGACCAGGAATCAAACCGTGACCTCCTGGGTCATAGGTCGATGCTCATCACTGATCCACACAGGCTGGGCTGTGACATTTTTCTATATTGCTTCTTTTCTTTCTTATGTAGTTGCTTTTGTATAGTTGAAATTATAATGGTTATTTCATTTAAAATATATATATGTAGGTAGGGGTGTGTCAAGGGCGGGGGGGAAAAAAAGGACACTTATGTAATACCCTTTGTAATACTTTAAGCGAAAAATAAAAAAATATTTTAAAAAAATAAATAAATAAATAAAATATATATATGTATATGATAATTGTAAAGAGATACAGCCTGATTTTTAGTAAATTTAGAAAACAGATAACAAAAAGAAGAAAATAAAAACTATCCATGATAACCATCCTTTCTTCTTCTTGTCAGGTATTTCCTTCTTGTTTTCCATGCACAAATAACCAAAACATACATATAATTTTATGAAAACAATATTTTCTTGCGTATGTGTCACTATTTTACTTAAGCAAACATGCGCATATTTTAGTGAACCATGATTCTTTTCTTGCTTTTCTCATTTAACAGTTTAGTTCAAGCATCAAAAAAATCCCCCAATTTTTAAAAGGGTATAAATGTAAATTTCTGTGTATTCCTAACTGCTAATCATATTTCACTGGGTGGGTTGAGTTGTACTTAATTGGCTGCCATCCCACTCGTCATTGTCAGGTTTCTAACTCAGAGGAGGCCAAGGATGGATAGGCACAGGCTAGTTCCTGCCCAGCTCTCAGGTCCAGGATCCTCAATTCTCCAACACAGTCCTTGACCTGATACCTTTATCTACTGGATCTGTCTTCCAGTTTTTAACCAGTCTTCCCATCGATGACTCACTGGCTCGCAGGACTGGCGAATGATAAAGTAGCTTCTAGACTGGTCACCAACTTGCTCTTTGACTTGAACAACTTAATTGTCTTCTCCAGGCCTTAGTTTGCCCATCTCTAAAATGAGTGCCATCTCCTTTTTGCCATTTCCACCTTCCTTCTCCAGGGCAAATACTTGCACTCACCTCCTGTCCCATCTTCCATGGCCTTGACTCTAAAGTAGTAAATATGACCTTGGAGCCAGGTAGAGCTGGCTTTGAATCCCATTCCCACCTGTGTGACCTAGGACAAGTGACTTTACTTCTCTGAATCTCAGTTTCATCTACAAAATGAGGCTGATGAATACAGTATATTGTATGTAATAGTTTTGTATACAGTAGTGTACAATAGTTTAAGGATTCCTTGAGTATATGTTCACATGGTACATAGTTGATACCAAATAAAGCATGCTTATTCTTTATTCATTCCTTGGTCTGTGACATATGACATCAGCTATTTTTCTAAGAGGAACCAAGCTTCTAGTTGCTTCCTCCCTTCTGCCTTTTCTTGCTACTCTCTGTTCCTTCTTTTACAGGGTGGGGCTGGAAGAGAGGAGCTCGTTCTGGAAGCTGAGTGATGCTGTTGTGCCTTTTCATCTAGGTATGATGACTATGACTACGGGGAGGTGAACCAGCTCCTGGAGCGGAACCTCAAGGTCTATATCAAGACAGTGGCCTGCTACCCAGAGAAGACCACCCAGAGAATGTACAGACTCTTCTGGAGGCACTTCCGCCACTCAGAGAAGGTACGGGGGCAGGGTGGAACTGGATCAGCCCGGCCAGTGGAGAGGGCAAGGGGTCAGGGCCCAATAAGGTACGCCAGACTGAGTCTGTACTGCCAGCTAGGATACCTGGGTATATTGTACTGGGTTTAAGTACTACTCCACGAAGTGATTTCAGACTCCACTGATTCACCTATATGATGGGAATGTGCTTTGCAGGGTCCTCCATGGCAGCCAGGAGGATCTGGGTTGAAACCATAACCCATCAGTAGCAGTATAACCTTGGGCATGTCACTCTGCCTCCTCAAGCTTTTTTATTTTGACAATGGGAATAAATACTACCTGCATTTCGATTGCTGGGAGGATGAAATGGGAAAATGAATGTAAATCTCCAATCCCAAACAGGTGCTCAGTGGTAGCTCTTAGTTTAGCTTTGGGGATAAAGAGATTAGTCACAACAAAGATGAATATGCTTGAAATTCGTGAGCAGTCCTTGCCCCAAATCGCTCAGAGCCTTAGGATGAGGTGAGTGGTCAGGGATGGTGGCAATGTGGGAGGGATGGGGATGGCGAGGACTGACATCATTTGCTGACAAGCCCCCCTCTGTGCCCCAGGTCCACGTGAACTTGCTGCTTCTGGAGGCCCGCATGCAAGCTGCCCTGCTCTATGCCCTCCGTGCCATCACCCGCTACATGACCTGACTCCCACACAGGCCCCGGGCCCGGAGCAGCTAACTCTCGGGCATCCTCCTCTGCAGGAACTTTTCTGTCTGGAGACAGACCCGATCCCTTTCTGTCCCACGCCCACCCACCACACTCGGGGGGTGGGCTTTTGTGTGAGGTGCAGCCCCCAAGCCACACCCTACATTTTCTCACTGGAATGGACAGGATCTCTGGGATCTCAGCTGTGGCCCTGGGAGCTGGAAGAGGACTAGCAGATCTGCAGGGGCCCTCTTCCTGCCCCTGAACCCAGAGGCAGAAGGCACAGGAAGTAAATGGGCTGAATTCGGATTTATGTACCTCCAGGTGGGGCCCACCACAAGGACTGTGGCCTTCCTGGACTGGAAAGGTCCCCGGCTGGCCCCTGAGGGAGAGGGGCCAACACCTGCAGGGACTGACACTCCAAGCAGCTTTCCTTTTCCTCCATCATTCTCATTTCATTACCTCTCACCTGCCATTAACCCATCAATGTGAAAGTCGGGGTCACAGCTGGTCTGTGCATCCGGCTCCCCAAAGACCTGTTCAGTTGGGCAGCCTGAAGGCCCCTTGTTTCCTGATTGCCCCAATCCTATTTCATTTCCTTTGACCTCCTCTGACCTCCCACCCTTTCCTCCGACACCTGGTGGTGTGAGGCCCCAGAAGAGAGACCAAGCACATCAAAAAAGTAGATGATCTCTAGAGAATTTGAGTAGCTTTGAGGGTCACTTTGCCTTTTGAAGTGTAGGGAGTATTAGATATTAAATTCTCTGTATTTTGGTCCTTTGTGGATGAAGTCCAGACCTCTCCAGGGCCTCACCTTTAGAGCCACAGTCAGTGGCTGTGAGGAGGAGGACGGGGCAATCTTCTCCCCAGAGCTTGGCCTCTCCTGTCTCCTGAGCTCTGCTGCAGATATTTGCCAAAAACTTGATCCTTTCTAGGTGGCCCATGGCCCAGCGGGAGAGATGGGAGACCCCAGGGTTGCTTGGGCCCTGCCACTGGCCCGGTGACCATGGCTATGTTGCCAAACCTCCTTGACCCCGATTTCCTGGGTTTCAGACTAAGGGGAGGGGATACTTTCCATGCCTGAGTCTTCACTCTGGGTGTCTCAGGCCAACCTGCCAGCAGTGAACTGCAAATGGTGCAGGATTTTGAAGGCCTCCGGGGACTCCCACTCTTGCGGTCAGTCTCCCGGCTGCCTTCCAAGGACCACCCAGATTCTGTCCCCTCTCCTCAGTTTTAGGTGGATCACTTGGAGGCAGAAGCAGCCAAGGACTGACCCCAGGCACTTTCTGTAGCAAACAAGCTGTGAATTACGACTTCCCTGGCCCTTCTTCCAGCAGTATGTGCCTCCTCTCTGACCAGTTTGGAGGTGACTGAAGAAAGGCAAGGGCCAAGATGCTGCTTGCTTCTGACCCTCCTCCCTGGGGTGGGGCAGGAAAGGAGCCTGGTCAGTGTGCCACATTTCATACCCGTGCAGGCATGGGGAAGCGACTGGCACCTCAGACGTCACAGCCCTCCCTGCAGTGAAGCTGGGCGGGAGGGAAGAGGCCCCAGCCTGGGTTTAGAGTCTAGAGAGGACATGATGACTCTGTAAATGTTCTGTGGGTGGACAGGGAGGGGTATTCAGTGTTCAAGTGCACACGTCTTTGGCTTTGTTACCAGTTCTGTATGATGAGAAATAAAAGTTCACCGAGGTTTTGTTTTGTACTGCTTGTTAATGGACTATTTTTCTATTTCCTAAGGGTCATGGTTCACCTCTTAGCAGGAAGCTGTGATTGCGTCATGGACTTGACCTGCTAGCCCCAACCCTACTGGGCACTTGTGCCCAGTGACTGCAGGATTGGGAGTGGTTGGCATTGAAACTTCTGTACCTTCGGTATCCAGTCCTTTCACCCATTTGTAGCGGGCCAGGCACTATGGAAATATAATGGGCATGTGTTTTTTTCACTAAGCCTGGCCCTTGACTGGGTACTTGGAGGCCATTTCTCTGAATATGCAAGGGAATTGGGACAGAGGTAAAGTGACATTGCTGAGACCACGTAGCTAGTAAGTGGTAAAGCTCGATTCCACCTGGGGTCTGCTTGACCCTAAGGCCTGGACATTTAATCTTCCTATTTTCTCCACTATTAGGCTCCCCCTATGGCAGAGGCAGGCTGTTTGAGAATCTCTGGGGGCTCCCCTTCTGTCCCCTGCCCCACCACATTATGCTTATCTGCTTCTCATCCTTCCTTCTCTGGCACCAAGGAGATAGAACTAGGCATAAGGAGTTAGATGTGACTCTCCCTAACCCCAGGTTATGCCAGTGCCATTTAGTAGCTTTATGACCTTGGTCAAGCTTTTGAACTCTGGGCACCAGGAACTTCAGTAAACTTAGGATAATCACATCATGACTAAGAGTTAAGCCCTCTCCTGCTGTCTTCCCCACTTGCCTTCAAAAATGAAAATGGCCTCCTCCAGGAAGCCTTCCCTGACTGACTTCATGTCCCCTTTTCATTTTTGCAGTGTTCTCACATTTGTTCTTCCTTCTACAGTCATTTAAGAGGATGTGAAAGAGTAAATCAGATCTGGAGTACAAAACTTGGATCTGGTGCTGACTCAGTCACTTACCCTGGGGCAAAGGGATGCAAGAGGAAACTATGCCTCAAGTTTCTTCTCCCATGAAAACGGTCACAAAATGTTTTCATTTCCAGGTAGCACTATTGAGTGACTGTTGTCAGATGTATTCAGATTTAATCTCTTACTCTTCACAACAACCCTGGAAGAAAGGAGTGGTGTTCCCATTTTATAGATGTAGAAAAGGAACTTCAAGGGAGAGTCTAGGGCAGGGGTGGGCAACCTTTTTGTGAGTGTGTGCCAAAACCAGCAAAATCTCTGACTCAAAATTCTTCTGCATGCCAACCCTGATTTTTTGAGAACATGTTACGCCTACTTGATATCTCTTAAGGTGTACGTATGTGAAGAACCTTGAAGAAATAATAAAATGCATTCAAGCGACAAAAACACAGTATATGATGGTGAAAAATACATTTTTTAATGTATACATGAACATTGATAGTCCGACAGAAAACTTTATGACTCCGTTTGATATTATCAGTGGGACTTTTGCTGCTGCATCACTGATGAGAGATTTTACATCAGGTTTATATTTCGTGACCTTCAGAGATATGCATGAGCTACTACTTTCATCCGTCAGGCTACTCCTATTACGAGACTTAACTAAATTCATCACTGAGAACAAAGATTCACAAGCATATGTGGATGAAAACATGGAGAGTAACGCTGTTGCAAAGTTTTTTAAACAGAAAGAATTTTCTGGAATGGCATTCCTCAATAGTTCGTTTTCGACACTTCTCTCTGGTACTCCTGTCTCTAATCACTTTTTTTCAATGTTTTCCAAGTCAACTTTAAGGTCAATAAATCTCTGCTTCAAATTGAGCTACTCTGAAATTCAATCAACTGCATTTCAAAGTCAGCCATGTCTATCCATGAAAACATTTGTAAGTTTAGTTCCTCCAGTTTCATGCTGTCTGGAAACATGAATTTTGCTGTCTCTTCCAGTTCTCTGAATTTCGCAAATCTTGAGAAGAACTGCTCAATAGTTGACTCGATGTTTAAAAACAGCTTTTGAAGGCTTTCACAGTCTTTTCTGTCACCTTTCGGGAGGTCTTTGATGTGCCTCTTGAGGTTTGGGAAATATCTAAATCTCTCACCATCCACATCCCTCTTAAAGACTTCCAGTTTCTTTTCAAAAGCCTTTATGTAACCAAACATAACATCAAGTGTCTTGCCAGTTCCTTGTAATTTAACATTTCATTCAAATGTTCACAAAAATTGTAACTGGAAGATTATAAGAGAGGGTTTCGCGTGCCAGCAAAAGTTACTGGCGTGCCATGGTTGGCACGCATGCCAGGGGTTGCCCACCCCTGGTCTAGGGAATACCAACTTGACCGGGGGTCAAGTTCCAGCTTTGACAGGTAATGTCTGATCATAAGCAAATTACTTCAATTCTTCCGCCTCAATTTCCTTATCTATGCAATGGGATTAATACCTAGAGCCAGAGGAGGGTTGTGTGAATTAAATAATGCATGCATGAAAAACACAACACAGTTCAGGTACCTAGCCCCCAGTACTAGTGAGCCATTTAGAATTCAGATATCTGCCCAATGTCACGTAATTGAAGTAGGATTTGAACCCTTGTCCGTCTGATTCCAGAGCATCACTTCTGTCCCCAAACTCCCTATGCCTTCAATCTGCATTTTTAAAAATCGTGTTCAAGTCCATTTGCATGTGGGATTGAAAACTCTTGGCCCAAGATTGGATCTAGTGAATCTGTTTCGGTCTTCTGCAGCCCGACAACCAAGACATCACATTTACCCAGGTTGGAGCCTGGAAGGTTGCTAGTGGCTTGATGGTTTGTGTGGCCTTTGGAGCCAGGCTTGGACTGAGGACTGCTGAGAGTGAGTCTCCTCCAGCAGGTTTCACACATGCGTCAGAGCCCTAGGAAAAGTGGAATGAAGACCTGGGGTTCACAGACTTTTTGTGTTTCAGAATCTCTTAAAGGACAAGTGGTTGGAGGTAGAGCTCAGAAATTGGCGTCTTTAACAGCTTCCCTGGCGTGCTGATGCCCAGACCATGCTTTCATTCAATAGATGTTGTGCGCATAATATGTAAATGCCCTGGACACAGAACAGTGAACAACACAGGCGCGGTTCCTGCTCCCTTGGCATTTACTGTCTAGTGCAGGAGACAGACATTAGATCATTACACAACTAATTATGTAATTGTGATCGGCACCTCCAAGGAGAAATACAAGGTGCTTTACAACCTAACAGCAGAGCTTTTTCTTCCAATGAAATCTGTTGGACTTTTGCAGAAACTAAAACACACCCAAGAAGAGCAGTTTCCCGCCCAAGGAAGCACCTTGGAACCCAAGGGCTCCATGGAACAGTTGGAAAACTACATTCCTCCAATCATGGAGCTGTGGTGAGCATCCCAGACTGTCTCTCATTCCTCCCCCCTCCCCCACTCAACCAGGAAAAGCCTCAGGGGAGGCCCTCTCTGGGAACTGCCCCGAGTCCACGGGAGCTGCCTAGCTCATGGTTATGCCCCTTTAGGCCGTCTGCCTCCAATGACTGACTGGAGGGACAGGAGTAGACAAAGGCCTGGCCCCTTTACCTCCATTGAAACAACTCAGGGATTTTTCCCAGCTCTAGTGCTCCCTTCAGGATCAGCCGAGGCCAACATTGCAGCCCCATCTCTTCTGTCCACCCTGTTTCCCACTGTCCTATGGTACTGGCCCCCAATATACCCCCCGTATGCAAATTTCCATCTCAGGGTCTGCTTACCAAGGTACTTGACCTAAGATACTCTCTTATTACAGATGGTGAAATAAAGACCAGAGAGGGGAAATGACTTGCTTGAGGTCACACCTGGACCTTCAGATCCTCTTCATAGTTTGTCACCACTCTGCGTCAGTCCTCCAACTTCCTGTCTTTACTTCTCTTCCTGAGGCTGGAGGCAACAGCTGCGATGCTGGAAGGACCATCCCCACGCTCATGACTGGAGACCTTGGGCAAGTCACTTCCCCTCTGGGGAGGTTAAAACACTGCCTGCCTGCTCCCTGTTCTCTCAAGTCAGCCTGTGTGTGATGTCCCTGGCCCTGAGAAAAACCATGGCTCAGCTGGTGACAGCAGCAGAAATTCTTCCCCTTGTGTCTGAGTCACCTCGGACCTCACTGTTGGTTCCAGCTGGGGGCGGGCCTTGAGCTTCAGTCCCAATTCTGAGTAGCTAAACTCACATGTCAAGAAGGAACCCCTTTTCTTTGTTCATGTCAACATTACGGAGTGCTTGTTTTGTCCCAGACACTGCTCGATGCTGGCAGTACAGCAGTGAGCGAGACACACATAGTCCTGGCCCTCATGGGCCTTAAAGTCCAGTGGAAAAGATGAACATCACACAAAAACGTGTGGTGAGTCCTGGGAGAATAGACAGCACAGGGAGCTATGGGAGATACCGCGGGGGAAACCCCACAGGCAGAGTGAGAGTACCCAGAGAAATACCCTGGACCTAAACGATAAGAAAGGATGGGAGGGAAGAGAGAAGCGTGGCACAAAGTCAAGCAGAGGAAACAGCCTGGGAGAAGATGTGAGGCGGGAGGAGAAGGCCTGATAGGGACAGAGGGAGCAGAGAGAATGTGAGAAAGGGTGAGGCTAAGGAGGAAGCCCAAGGCAGATCTGGCATGGCCTTGCAGGGCATGTTAAGAATTTTGGACTTTATCCTATGGGCAGTGAAAAGTCTTCAAAGGAAATTTTGTTGTTTATTACAAAATAGATGTTATGAACTGAATGTTCATGTCCCCCTCCAATTCATATGTTGTAACCCCAAGTCCCAGTGTGCTGGTGTTTGGAGATGGGGCCTGTGGGAGGTGACTAGGGCATGATCATGAAACCCTCATAATGGGAATAAGGCCCTTATAAGGAGAGAGAGAAGAGATCTCCCCCTCCCCTTCTTTCTCCCTCCCTCTGGCTCCCTGCCAGGTGAGGACATAACCAAGACAAAGTCTCTTATCAGGAACCAAGTGGCTGATACCTTGATCTTGGACTTTGCAGTCTCCAGAACTGTGAGAAATAAATTTCTGTTGTTTAAGCCGCTCACTCCAAGGTATTTTTGTTATAGCAGCCCAAACTGACTAAGACAATAGATAATAT